GTTTGACAAAAGAGAATGCTGATCTCAGGGCGCAAGTAGAGAACCTGAAAGCAGAACTGCTCAATGAGCAAAATTTGGCCAATGCTCGAATAGATTTTGTTCTCCAAACACTTGCTGCAGCTTCCAAGCCCTCTACTCCTAGTGCCCCCTAAGTACCCCTNCATCGATTGAAGGCTAGGAATGCTATCCTGGATGGTCAGCAAGCCCAAGGGGTTCCGTCGTCAAATGATGAAGTGGCTTGTTTGACAAAAGAGAATGCTGATCTCAGGGCGCAAGTAGAGAACCTGAAAGCAGAACTGCTCAATGAGCAAAATTTGGCCAATGCTCGAATAGATTTTGTTCTCCAAACACTTGCTGCAGCTTCCAAGCCCTCTACTCCTAGTGCCCCCTAAGTACCCCTTCAGTGACCGGTTTCTGGAAATGTTCTTTTAAGATTTTTTTGTTTTGTTTGGCAAATGTTTTGTTTTCTTTTTTTTTTGATGTGGTTGGGATGAAATAGTACTACTCCCGTCTTAACAATCCAATGTTGCCTTTGCTTTTTAAGCAAAGGCATATTAAATTTTATTAATATAAAAGCTATCCTCTTTTATTATCTCATTGCTTAAATCTATGTTTCTCTTCTCTATCATGTTTTGTGCACATATGTGGCATTAGTTAGTTTGGCTAGACTTCTTTATACCGTTTATCTGTTTGTGTCTTTTTAATAATGCCAAAAGGGGGAATAAATAATTAGTGTAGATAATGAGAAATAAGGAAGGCATAAAGTCAGGGAGAACTTGTGAAAACTTGTGTTCTCCTGTTACTTAATCTAGTTCTCCTTGCTCTAAATCCACGATTATCAATGTTAACTTTATCATCGTCAAAAAGGGGGAAATTGATAGGTTTTCAATGTCTTTGCCTTATGTTTTGATGATCTAACAAACTTACTGTCAAGAACTAGATAGGGAACCTGAAACACATGGACTATTTAACGGATTCCAGCTAATGTGAACTGCTATAGCTTCAGGAGATAGGAAACCAAACAAGGACCTGATACCCTTGTGGTTCCCTCATAGCAGTACAAAGTCAATTGGACACAGCTAGAAGCGACGTGATCGCCTGCACCGTTTCTGCCTGCACTGCACTATTTTCAGTGCCCACTTATTCCTTGACCAACTAAAATGCTTATATCATTTCAAGTGATGTCATCAAGGTGTATCAACAATGAGTTTATATCAAAACAGAACTTGAACATTTCTGATCCTCATTCAAGCCTTTTGCAAAATAGAGAAATCAATTCTCACGAGCTTGCAAAACAAAGTTAAACGCTACTACGGACCAGTTCCTAAAGTTAGTATTTTGTTGTTCTTAGTTGAGTTGTAACTTTGTGATTGTTCTTATTGTATCTCCTAAACTGCTTAGCCAGAAACGTTGATTAGGAACCCTCTTGTAAAATTCGTAAACTCTCTGAGTTTATGTTGTGACTAGGTTTAGTCATAAGTTAAAGTCTTTATTACTAGAGAGTGATAAAATGGCTTATGGTGAGAGTATCACAAGTTAGTTAAAGTCTTTATAACTAGAGAGTGACAAAGTGGCTTGTGGTGAGAGTACCACAAGTTAGTTGAGTTAAATCCTTTGTAATAGAATTATTACAAAGTGGCTTGTAATAGGTGTTTATAAGTTAGTGAAGTTGAAAGCCTACAGGTGTAGGTCGTGGTTTTGTCCCCTTGAGTTGGGATTTTCCACGCAAAAATCTTGTGTCTCATTTACTTACAGTTTTACTAGCATTCTCAGAATAACCTCACAGAGGACCAGATACTCTACTCTTTGGTGGACTCATATAAACTAACACTAACCTTGTATGGGGGAATTACCCCTTAGGATTGTTGTTGTTTCTGATAACTGTGATGTGTGAAATTCATGTACTCAAGGTGACGAGTGTGTACACGTGATATATATTGAAATTGCCGATTTTAATTATGTAGATTACTTTTATGCCTTAATTGAGTTGTCGTAACATGTGATCTTCATCATCATTAGTATAATTTCACATGCTTTATTTGTCTTATCTCTTAGGTGTTGTTTTCTCTACATGTTTAGTTGAAGCTCTTGTTTCCTTTATTCCGTATTCATTATTTAATTGTTGAACTCTTTACTTGAAGTGTCATTCTTGGAAATATTTGGTTGTTGCAATTGGTATTGATTTATAAAGACTGCGATTCCTAATGAGGCAAGGTGTTAAGTTGTGAAATATCATTCTATTGAGTTATTCACTTCCGGTTGTTAATGTTGAGATTTTGTGTGCATTGTGGTTGAGCTGTGGGCTCTTTATTGTGATTTTGTTTTTATTATTTGGTTTCTCTAGCAAGTTGTGATATTGGGCACTTGAGGTGCGATTTGTGATATGATGTGATATTGATACACATACAGTGGTATAGGGTTCGGGGGTTGAAACACATGCGGTGAGATAAGGTGGGCTTGATATGCGTGGCTAGTAAGGGAACTACTAGACTCCATGCAGTGTGATAAGGTGGGCTAAAACACAGGATGCTATTTCGGGAAAAATAATTTTCAAAACTAAATATAAAGGCTCTCGCGATGATATAAAGAAAGATTGTGAGTTATTCCTGTGATTTGAGACTATGAGGCGGTACCTCGGTAGTGACCCTTGTTTATCTTTCTCTATTTGTTGTACTTGTCTTTGGCTATTTTTTTTCCTTAACATGTCAAATCCTTGTTTCCTTCTGAGATATATTATTTGCGTGATTCTTTGTAGTTAACTTTTGGTATACTCCTTACTTGTTTCATTTCCATTGTCATTATTATTATATTGTTAAATATTTTGACATGTTTTTAATTATTTCTAGTAGGGCCTTGACCTGACCTCGTCACTACTTTATCGATGTTAGGACAGCTTGGCACATATTGGGTACCATTGTGGTGTACTCGTGGTATGCTTCTACACATCTTTTTGTGCAGATAACCTCCAATCAGTCCCAACACTAGTGAGCTGAGTTCGCATTTGGAGACTTCAAGGTACACCTGCTCGCATCCGCAGGCCTCAGAATCCCCTTCTATCCATTTTTATATTTTTCCTTCTTTACTAGAAATAGTTGTATAGGAATGACTTCGATATTGTCATTGAGCTTGTGACTGGTATTTCGCCGGGTTTTGGGCTATTGTATATACACTAAGATATGGAGATTTTTCCTTATATATGTTGTTGGGTTTTGAGAATTTGAAATTATTATTTCAGTTACTTTCACAAGTTTATTAGGCATATCTAGTCTTAGAGACTAGGTGCCATCACGACATCCTACGGAGGAAAATTGAGATTGTGACAAGTTGGTAGCAGAGCTTTAGTTTAATAGGTTTACGAGTCATAAGCAGGTTTAATAGAGTCTCGTGGATCTGTACGAAGACGTCTTTACTTATCTTCGAGAGGCTATAGAACTGTTAGGAAAAGTTTCACTTCTTCGATCCCTTATCGTAAGAAATTGTTGTCTTCGGGATTCTAAATTTCTATCTTTCTATTCG